CGCCGCCTCCAGTGGCGGCGGCGCCGGAGGGGCATTGTACGGCACTCGACGGCCCAGCGGCTCTTTGTTCTCGGAGGCACCGCCCGTGCCCAACCGCCGACGGTCCAGCGGCGCCAACCCAGTGACAGGCTCCGCCACTGCCGCTGGCGGCGGCGTTGGGGCCAGCGTCCTTCCGGGCAGTACGGCGTCGGTTTGTGATGACCGCGGCGGCGGCGCCGCCGCCACCTCCGCCACAGCTGCCTCTGCAAGGTTGTTGGTTGAGCCTCTTGGCACTCTGCCCGGGTCGCCTCTCGCGGAGTCCCGCCGGGGCACGTCGCGGCCCGGCACGAGTACGGGCTCTCGTGGCGCTGACGGCGGCGGCGGCGGCAGTGAAGTGGGGAATGCCATCGGCGGTCCTTTACGTACGACAGCGTTCCTGGAGCCCCAGGCGCTCAACGGCGCTGAGCCGCCGCTCGCGCCAGCATCTGGCGGCGAGGTCGGCGGCGCCGCAGCGGGGACTGCCGTCAGTGATGCCGGTGGCCATGAAGTTTAGCGCTGGTGAGGTGGACGACGTGAAAGAGTGTCGTACGCAGCAGCAGCAGCAGCAGCAGCGGCGGCGACGGCGGCGATGTGTTTCCCCGCCCCTGACCGGGTGGCCGGGTGACTGAAGTGCCGCTCGCCGAACTAGATACTGTACTGCGGACATCGAGAGAGAGAGAGAGAGAGAGAGAGAGACAGACGCGGTTGCGAGGTTGTGGGTAGGGGACGAGCGGTTACGGAGGTTGCTGCCGTTACAGGGGAGAGGGAGAGGGAGAGAGAGAGAGTCGTTGGCGGCTCCCCCCTCTTCAGAAGAGAAAGAGAAAGGCGAACTTGGAGGCGGCAGGGGTGCGTCAGGTAGCCAAATCATCAAATCGATCAGCTCGCGGGTGCGCACGGAGCCATACACTCCGGGCATATAGGGGCCACGAGAGAAACCTCCTCCCCCCCACACACGGGGGTGGGAGCGGCGGGTTTGACGGTTCATCCTCCACGGCTTGGTTGCGGGAGGTCATCCAGCGGAGTACGGCACTGGCACCGTTTCGCTGACGGGTGCCTCCCTCATGGCGGCACATGCTTTTTTCTTCTTAACTCCGTGTCGTACACGTCTGCATGGGCATGCATCCTCTTGCCGTACATGTCCGTCGCCGCCTCCCGTCCCCCGCCGCCGCCGTCGTGACCTCAGTGGCGTCCGTATGTACGTCGTACCTCGAGCGACTCATCGGGGAGGGGGTAGGGGTGGGGACGAGAGGGCCGCCGTTGCGCTCCAGCTGGCCCATTCATTCTTTGCGTGTCGCCATTAAGCCCGCAGCAGCTCGCAGCGCACACATGGGACGAGGCGCAGCTTTCGCCGGAACACCCATCGCTGTGTTCACCACTTGTGTTTATCATCAAGGGGCGGGGCGGGGGGGGGCCGGTCACGGGGCTGAAAGGCCCCTCGAGTGGGATGTCGCCATTACTGGGAGTGTGTACGGCGGGATGTCGTATTGCTTGCTTGGTTTGTTTGTTGGTTTGTTTGTAACCGCCAGGACGGGACTGAAGTTGTCTGTAGAGCTAAGCCTAGGGTTGTTAAGCAAATACATCTGTGTGTAAGTATTGATGTATGTATTGATGTATGTATTGATGTATGTCTGTGTATTATAGAGGCCGGAGAGACTTCCCCCTACCCCCCTCCGCGCCTGTTGGGTTCGGCGTCTGCGACATTCAGGTGTCGTATTATTCACACGTATATCTGTACGACTGTACGAATTTATGCGTGTGTCATGTTGCGTTTTTATTGGGTTTGCGCCATCCGGGCCCCCCGGGGGGGCGTTTTCGTGTTCGAGAGGGGACCCGCCTTCCCCCTCCTTTCCTGGTCGGGATGAGGGAGGGGGGGCCAGGAGCGCCGCCAGCACCAGCACTCTCTGCGCTATCAGGGGGCGGGGCGGGGGCGGGGCGTTGAGGTGCTGTGCGAGTGTGATCGCGGCGGCTCCCGGTGGGATTTAGCTGGCTGGCGAATGAGCTGAGGGCGCACTTTCAAGTATTATTCATTTTATCGGACGCGGACTGTTACGGCTGATTATAACAACTACTAAAAGTTAAAAGTTTTGTACGGATTACTGCACACACTTGGCCGCGGGCTGCGGGCTGCGGGGTGCCTCACAAGTAACTGAGCCGCGAGCCGTGTTGGCGCGTTGGGTTGGCTGGGCTGGGCGGGGCTGGGGTGAGGTTGCCACAGCTGTACGACTTTACTAAGGAGGCGCAGGTCCACCACCCACATGGAGTGGAGTGGAATGGAGTGGAGTGGGTGACGATCGCATCGCATCGCCATACGCCATCACATCGCGCGGATGTACATGTCCAGGACTTAAGGTGTCAACGTGCTTAAAATGTTGATGTCGAAAAATCAAATATACGTCGGGCTTTTGAATTCTGAACTGCTTAGTCGACCTTGCGGTTGCTTTCCCTTCACGCCCTGCTACTGCGGCACTTGGTGACACCGGTTCGTGGAATAAACCTGTCTGCATATGCCGTACAAACTTTTCACCGTGACTGCTGGTGCAATACCGTTAGGCAGGTTGGTGGTGTGTGTGTGTGGGGGGGGGGGTGATGGCGCGCGTGATGTCATTCGGAAGGGCTCCGCCCCTCCCCTCCCCCTTGCTAGCAAGCCTCATACGTCACCAAGAACATCACCACATTGCACTGGTCCGCATGTTTTTACATCTACTTCTTTTCCTTTCTCGCTGTGCATGATGTTTAGGCTGTTGTACACGTCACTTTAATAACAGGACTCTCTTCTTCTGGAAACGGAGAGTTTGCGCGAACGCATGTATGTATGTACGTATCTGTGTATGTGTGTGTGTGTGTGTGTGTGGTGTTGCGGATACATCCTACATCTGTGTGCTCCTAAAGTCAATTAATTGAAAAGGTTGTGAAGGCATGGAAATAGGAATACAAACTTCAGTTGATGCGCTAAACAGTAAAGTAATATCCTTATTGCCCTTTCACTTTCAACTGGAAAAAGCGCACCTGCACCTGCACCTGCACCTGCGTGGCTAGATATATATGCGAAATGACACCATTATCATGAAAGAGGAAAACTAGGTAGCCCCTCGAGGATGCGGTGGGGCAGCGAAATCACAATTGTGATGATGGTCGTCCTCGCGGCGGCGGCGGGCGGTCGGAGGTGATGATGTGGGCCATCAGGGGGCGCCGCACTTCTCCGATGAAACAGACACTGCCACTGGTAGGAGCCTTAAGGTTGACCCCAGCCTAAAGGTTGCGGCCATACACACACAGACATACCTACATGCATACATGCATACACATGTCTCGCGCGCTTGGGTACCGCAGCAGCGCTCACTGCGCCCTCCTCGCCGCATCCGGGGGCACACAGCGGCAGCGGTGCGTTCCTACCGCCTGCCACATCATCAAATGACATTTCATATCGCGAACCCCCCATTACCACATCGTCCTGCATGTATGTATGTATGTATGTATGCATGTATGTATGTATAGCTACATACGTATGAACGCAGAACAACAGCCTTCATCGCCTAGCTTCCCTCATACGCCACTACCTTTTCCCTCACTCACTCACTGACTAAGCACAAAACACACACACACACAGCCTCTCGTGCGGCCCACTGCGCCCGCTCCCCTCCGCCCTAAGCCGCGCTCTGTAACATCCTCCCCTCTCCTCCCCCCTTCCTTTCCCCCTCGACTCCCCCAAGCCAACCCCCGGGGCTTCGACACTCCATTCACATCCCACAAAGGTCAATACACAGAACGCGTTCCCTGCGCCCCCTCCCCCCCAATACACACACACAGCACACCAAGCAGTCTCCTAGCCCCCCTAGGTCACCCCACATCACCCCCGCCTCCACACACAACTCCCCACAAGCACTCCCGGGCTGGGGGAGACCGCGTCTCCCCAGGCCCCCTGCCCTACTGACCCCGTTAACAGCGTAATCGCCTCCAGCGGGGACTAAGGAGAGCCCCGGGTCCACTGCGCCCCCACAGCGCCAGGGCCGTGTGCATGTGTGTGTTTATGTGTGTGCGCGTGTGCGTGTGTTGTACGGCAAGCCCGCTGATCACACCTACCACTACCACTACCTAATGATGAATAGGGCCGTTGTTGAGCTGTTGTGCGCTCTAAACCCCTCCTCTCGGCCCTGATGTTGCCGTGTATGTGCAGTACAAGTCCCCAAGCGCCCTCCACCTCCTGATCCACCTCCAGCCGCAACAGCATG